ATCATGACTTATCATTAAACTTAAAATTAAACTTATCATAAAACTTATCATAATTTTTTATTATGTTTTTGCTGTGCAGTGCTATAGCGCTACTACATTGAGCAAATACGCATATTGTCGAGAGCTCGTCCGCATGTGTGTGTTTTTGGGAGCGAGTGGACTTTGTCCATTTTCAGCTCAGCAACCAGGAAAGCTGGGAGGTTGAAATTGTGAGGCCATATTCCCACCCTATGTGTCACCTTTCTGTTTTGTAAATTTCGTTCATACCTAGATCTCGCTTAGGGACCTCCGAAGAAATATGCAAATTTCTTTGGCGGGAAACGATTTCGTGACTCAGACAAATAAAAAGCTGAAATTTGCAGCAATACTTTCTGCGCATGTACAAGCTAAAGATTTCAAATTCAGTTGTTGCATTCGCTTATGCAGCGCGTACGGTCACGCCAAAGTTTATAGTTGTACCGTGTCAAGTCAAAAATTAGCGGGAAAATAGCAGCTAAAATTTTGTCAGAATATTTGCTGTACATAAGTTAAAATTATATACCGAAGTTTTGATTTGCACTGGCTTTGCGACTTAGAGCATTTCAAAGATATCTGTAGCGAACTGGCTATTTCGTTTACCAGGCAGGCAGCGAGGCTGAAACCTTGCAAGACTGAACTTCACCTTGATATTCTACATTGACATATGGTCTTAATTCAGTTTGGAGGTAAAATTTCCTGCACGCTGACATGACAAAAACCCAGTTCTATCAAGAACTCAAAAGCGAGTGCTTGCAGATTTCATGATTCTCTTCCGACTGTCTTCAAATTTATATTTTTTTCAGTGAATGAGTATCCGACGTAAAGACCGAGCTTCATGCAACCCAGGCTGGAATGCACCAGGCGGTCGGTGCGATCATACGTTTTTGCACTTTTCGTACCGTAGCAAGATTTCAAGGGATCGCAGTAGCTAGCCCGATGACATACTGGCCCTCGAAGTTCGAGAAGTTAATTGTGCAGCTTTGTGGAACGTCAGTTTTAGATGTTGACTTCAGTGACCCGACAAACAGAAAGTTGTTGGTCCGCAAAAAGACCCAGCTAGAAGAGCTAAATTTGAAATCTTTTAGTTGCACATGAGCAGGGAACAATCCCTTAAAATCAAAGCCTTCCAGCTTTTCTCTTTCCCCATTTGGCAATTCTTCCGTAAAAATTTTTACTCGCCCGTATATGAGTCGCGGACAGTTCTAAGGAACTGAAAAAAATGAACGGGAAGCAGTCCTTCTAGCTTTTCTCGTTCCCGGATTAATGATTTCCCCACCAAAACTTGCATGGTTCGTATGTGAGCCCTGGGCAGTCCTGAGCAACTAAATTTGAAATCTTTTTGTCACACACGGGTAGGGACCATTCTCCTAAGGTTTCAGCTTTCTAACACTTCTCGCTCTCGAGTTAGCAGTTTTCCCACCAAAACTTTCACGTGCTCGTACGCAGGGCCCAGGCTGGTTGAGGGTTGATACCGCCGTCCTGGGGTGGCACTTGGATGGGGAATACACCAGCAAAATTTCAGCTTCAAAGCTTGCGTGGTTGGCGAGTTGAAATATCCGAACAGACGAACACACACACACACACACATTGATAGAGTTGCTGCAATATGCGTTTTTGCTGCCTGTTACAGC